GTTGGCTTTATTAAATGCAGACTAGCAGTGGAGCATTTGCAATCCTTCAGATATTATATTTTTATTCATTTATTTGTTAATTTTATATGCCACTCAATTCACTATCAAAGTGACTCTGGGTGTCTTAATTTTAATTTTATCCTGCACACGATTGGCCATTTTGATTAGACATTATGGGAATAGTATTTAACCAAAAGTGGAATACCACTGGTTGCCAGTTCTTGTTTTGGAATTTGCATCCTTGAGTTCCACAAGATATCAAACATGAACTAATCCTCCTACGACAAAAGCCTGAAACTACAGCAATCTTAAGAAAAAACCCATCTAGAACAGGTGAATTAACAAATACACTGTGTGGTAGAGAAATATGTATCCTTGAGAGAGTTTGATCTTATTTCTGAGTCATCCATAACTTCCAATATGATGAACTTTATCCAGGTGGCAAATGCAGCGTGCACACTAATTCATTAAAGCCAAAGAACTATTTTGAACAAAACAGGCATTGCGTTCCACACCAGGATCTTTGCAGGGTGCCATTAACTGTATAAATGCATTTGAAGGAAATTTCAATGGGACATGTTATTGCCCCATCTCGGAGGAAATGATGGTTACTCTTAATTAACAACAAAAGAACACTGTTGCAAGGACAATTTCAAAACATAATCTACAGCAGGTAGAAAAGAACAACTCACCTTCTGGTCCTGATTATGCTCATGAGCCTACCACAAAGTCAAAAAAGCAGAAACTGAGTAGTCAGTTATAGAGTTCTACTGTTTGGACTTTTCTCAGTTTCTGATTCTAACAATCAAGGACTACATTTGTAGTCCATGTTTCAGCCAATTAAGAAACCAAATAAACACGGTATTCAGATGGGATGAAAATACCACCTTACAAGGAATGCATCCATTGTAATTGCAACTCATCAACTCATTTTATTTAACAGCAATGATTTTAATCCACTCTTCTTCTTTGTTGGCATGATAGCAGAGAATTACCTTTCCAGAGATCTATTTCCAGATGCATAAAATTGCAATTCCCAAAATTTGGAGAAATGCCTGACCTTCAAATTCCCTACCTATCTTAATTCTTGTTTTGTAAGATATGAAAGATTTCTAACTTTATTAATAATTCCAATAGGGTTGCATAATGATTTCAGGAGAGTTTTGTACAATATGGTCTCTTCTGATGTTTGAATGGATCTTGCAATGAATGATAAATCCATTTCAAAGGTGCCTAAAGATTAATTTCTTGGCGTCTTCTGATGACACTTCAATGAAATTCTATGCATGTTTTCCCGTGTTACTTTCTAGGATCATCTGTAATTACAGCAAATTGGGGTTGAAATTCAATGCCTTGAACAGGAAAAAAAAAAGAAATACAAATGCAACTACAAATAGTTGCATTTGTGGCAGCCTCTCAAATACAAACATTTGAGAAGTAGCCACAAAGAAGAGGGGGTCAACTTATTTTCCAAAGCACCAGCAGGCAGGACTAGAAACAATGGATGGAAACTAATCAAGGAGAGAAGCAACCTGGAATTAAAGAGAAACTTCCTAACAGTGAGGACAATTAACTAATGCAGGGATAGGCAACCTTGGCTTTTATGACTCGTGGACTTCAACTCCCAGAATTCCTGAGCCAGCCATGCTGGCTCAGGAATTCTGGGAGTTGAAGTCCACGAGTCATAAAAGAGCCAAGGTTGCCTTATCCCTGTGGAACAGCTTGCCTTCAGAAGTTGTGGGTGTCTCATTACTGGAGGCTTTAAAGAAAAGACTGGATAGGCACTTGTCTGAAATGGTATAAGGTCTCCTGCTGAAGCAGGGATTTTGACTAGAAGACCTCCAAGGGCCCTTCCAGCTCCCTTCTGCTTTTTTAATGTTGAATAAACTTCGACAGGAGTGAAACCTGACACGAAGGACTGTCAGTCCAGAACACCTGACTTAGTTATTTCTGTACCTTCGCCTAAGGAACCTAAACCTCTACCAGGGGTGGGGGAGTTGCTAATTTTTAAGAACTAATTTTTGTCTTGCTGCAAGTTTTAATTTAGCAGTGGGGCCACAAATGCAGAAAATTAACACATCTTTGGGAAGTGAGAGAAAATTGCTGCATGAGGGACATCTATGCTTGCCATTAAAATATATATTCCTAGGAGAGCAGAAAACATTTTCTGAGGGTGAAACAAAAAGAATTATAAATGCTGTTTGACTTCATGGCTGTCTGAAATACCTGGAACTACTTTAATTCTACTACTTTATTTTTTCTCTATTTTTTCTCCATTTTCTTTTGTTTACCACCACCACCAGCATCACCACACACACAAACACAAGCTACCTCTTTTCTTTTGCTACTTGTAATTCTGTTCCTTTGGGACAAGGGTTATTTGTATAATACTTTTACTCACTTGCAAGCCTCTGAGACAACCAAGCTGTAAATCTCAGTGATTGCATATTTCCATATGGAGCACTTGGACTCAAGATACATAAACAGAATAATTTTCTCCCTGCTGCAGACAAATTCTTGGGGGACTCTGAACAAAATTCAATGTGTACATCCTTTTCTTTTTTTTTTTCATGGGCCTCACAAAAAGACAGCAGAAAGAAGCTGGGAATAGACCTGAGTTGGAGAATGGTACTCAACCTACTTCTTTGCACCGAAACGTGTCTCTCCATACACACACGCACACACATGCATGTATTCGCAGGCCCTCAACAGTTATAGGCACAGATGGAGGCTGAGCAATAAAGGACTGGAACAGATTTCCCAGCTGTTGCTAAATGCTCTTTTCCTTAGGAAGTGCTAGCCCAAACAGCACCAAGATATACACATGGCACATAGACTTCCCTTTCTTTGTCAGATCGTCTGCATAAGGAAGATTTCCCTTCCATTTTAAGCTTCTTGAGCCTCACATTTAATGCACAATACTCTTTAAAGCATATCAAGATATTGTGTTCAAAGCCCTGCCCTTCCAGTAGTAGAAAATAGACAGAACATGGGCTTGGAAGATTGTCACTGCCCCTGTCCAAAGCAGACAATTGAACCAGTCTTCCATGCACTATTGGGATACCTCTCCTACAAAACAGAAGCTTTGACATATTAATGCTTCTGCTAGTTAACCATCTGCACGGGTCAAGTGAGAATTTCACAACAATCGACTGAAATTTCAAGAAGAGTAGCCAAGTTTTGCTCAACTGAAATCACTGTAAGGGGGCTTGTAGTCTGGCTTTGTCTCATTAATAAGTGATTACATCTGCTCCTGGGTGCACTAGCTTGAGTTTTTTAGTATTTTATGTCGCTTGATTAATTTTAATTGTATTATTATTCTTTTTTTAATTTGCTCTTTTCTGTTTCTTTTGTGATTAAATGAATTTGCTCTTCTGATTATGGGTCTTTGACCTAAGCAGATCATAGTGATAATTACATAGGGATCTCCATGTTTTTTTCAACAGTTGAAAAAAAAGTGGTTTATTAATGCCTTCTTCCTACAAGCCAGATCCACAATGGAACACACCCACACCCACACCCCACCCACGCAGGTCAAAGTGGATGATTCTTATAAAACTATGTGCTTGCATAAATCATGAGGAATCTTCCACAGTTGTGATAGAAAGTGATTTGATGGTTTCTCATTGACTTAAGTAGGTTTTAGGCCTAGTGGTATCTTTCTGATGGTATCTTTTTAATGCCTTTCTGATGGATTCAGAAGGTGGACAGGACCAGACAAACATCAAATTATATTTAATGTAAATGCTATTTAAAGAAAATTAACTGCAGTTGACATTGTTAATTCTCTATATTCTATAGTTTTTACTTTGGACCAGTTATTCTCTCTCAGCCCAACCTACTTCACAGGAATGCAAGGAGGAAGTGTTATGTATGCTATATATTTCATATTTCTATATGAAATCTTGATTTATTTTTAACATCAATACTTCAAACATCTCTCAAGTAGGTCAGTTATTGCCAAGACAATGTTATAACCATCACTTAGTAAAAATACAACACCTTGAAAACTATAACTTTTTCTTCAAATTCCCAGAGAGCCAAATCATCCATCTCTTGTTCTGTGTTCAGTAACGCGAGCTGGTCCTGCACTGAACAGAGGGTTGGACTTCCCGGGCTCATTTTTGAGCTTGGTGCAGGGAATACCATAATCCTGGTATCCTTCCAAAGCCCTATGTGCAGACATAAAGGCTAAAATTTGATGCCAGTCACTTTTGCAAAACATTAATTCTATCCTGATTCAGAGCACAGCTAAAGGAAGAGTTAGCTATATTCAGGTTGATGTACAGTACATACAAGCATCGTTAGCTGATTCTAGACCACACATCATGGACAGCCACAGGGATGGCCCAAATTTATGTTAGGCTTATCATAGGTCTAGTAATTAAGGACCAAGGAAGAAACTGGGAGACAATGAATTCAAGTCCAGCCTTAGACATGAAAGCAGGCTTTGTGATTTTGGGCCAGTCACTCTTTCAGCCCAACCTACCTCACACGACTGTTGTTGGTGGGAAAACAGAAGGAGGAAGGAGTATCATGAAAAACACAAGGAAGGCAACAGATGCAAGATCAAAATCTATCTACAGATCTCTCCCCCCTCAAAAAAAAAAAAAACAACCCACCAAATTTGAATATTCCTGTACTGAAATCTGATGTTGAAATAATACAATGATTTGGGGTTTATAACATTACAATAAAAGGGGAAAGAAACACCACCAAACTTAAATGTTAAAATCTGCCCTGAAACAATGCAATGGGTCAAGATTTACTTATAACTTTTCAATAAAAGAAGGGACACCAAATTTAAATATTACCGCATTGAAAACTTCATTAAAGTAATACAGTGGTTCAACCTGTAACATTAAAATAAAAAAACCCTAAACTTAAAATATCCCATGGCTCAAGAGTTATAACATTACAGTAAGAGGGGGGCCAGAACCCAAACATATATACACACACACACACACACACACACACACACACAAACACACACTCCTGCGCTGAAATCTGTACTTTAATAAGATTTGGATCAAGATTTATAACGCTACAATAAAAAGGAGGGCCCAACTGAAAGGACCCGGCCTTCCCCCGAGCCCTCGCGAACAATGGCGGGGCAGCCACCCCGGGTCGCTCCTTCCACACGTTCCCGTCCCCGCGCTTCCAAAGTGAGGGAAACGGGGAGACGAGCCCATCCCACTTCGCCGCTTGGGCCCTTTCGTAGTTCGGCTGCCCCGCCGCGGCCTGGGCCTGGCATCCCTCCGGCCGGCCTCCCCGGCGCCTCCTCAGGCGGCAGGGGGCGGCGTCGGGCCGGGCAGGCGGCTTCCTTCCCCGTCCCTCCCCTTCCCCACCTCCCTGCGCTTCGGAACATGGCGGCGGCAGCGACGATAACGGCGGCGAGGGACTGAAGCAGCCCGGCGCTCGGCCGCAGGTGAGCCAGCGGGCGGGAGGCCACCGCGCGGGGAGGACGAGCCAGGGGGCGGAGGAGGCCTGGCCGCCAGGTGCGGGACGCCTCCGCCCCGTGCAGGCCCGACCCTCCTGGGGCAGCCCGGGCCATCCTGGCTGAGTGACAGCGGCCAGCCCGTTCTCTTCGGCGGGCTTGGCTCCCTCCCCGAGCGCCGCGGATGGGCCTCCGATGTGGGCGCTTCCCTCTCTTGAGAGATGGGGACCAAGAGGGGATGGTGGGTAACCCTGCCCAAGGGGCAGCCTCTCGCTTCCTCGGGCGGGGGGTCTGGTCTGGCTCCTTCGCCTCGTCTTAGAGTAAGCTGAGCCTTCCTCCTGGTCTGCCCTTCTGTGGAGCGAGCATCCTCCGGCCTGAGACACCACAGCCTCCTTTCCTGTGCGGGGAGGAAAGAGAAGGCTACCCAGGGGAGACCCCAGAGAGGGTCTGAAGGGGTAGCTCCATCTGGAGGGCGCTCTTTGGGGAAGGAGCCCCCCCCCCAAATGGAGGCACGTGTGAGCAGGCTGTCCTGGGATGCAGTTGGGGTGGATGATTTAGGGTCCCGATTGGGGGGGAGGGGGACCAGGGTTGCTAAATGGTGAGGGGCAGCTGGAAAGCAGGGTGTGTGACATGAAAGCAGGAAGGGGAGTTATTTTTCATGCTGCAGCTGGCCTTCCTTTCTGTCTGCTGCAGAAATCAGGAGTTGGACAATTTGTCTGAAGGTTGTTTTCTCTTCCTAATAGGAGATTTCTTGACTTATTTTTTCCCCCTCTTGATTTGTTCCTTGGTGATAAAGATTTCCTCTGGTTCCTCTCTTTTCCTCTACCTGGCTCTGGGTACTCACTGATTCATCAGAAACCCTCTCTAACTAATTGTCTCCCCAAAAGCAATTTGGGATAGTCAGATGCATGCTTTGGGGTTGCTTTCTTGTGATATAAAATGATGGACTGGCATTTACTGAGGAAAGCGGGCTTCAGAATACAAAGAAGTCCTAAGTATAAATAGAGCAAATATGATTTTAACTTTGTTTTTAAAAAGATTCAGCTTTATTGTTAAGCAAATTATCTCCCTCTTGGGAGGCATTTGGCAACTGTAAGCCACCCAGAATTGTCTGGAGTGGGCAGCCATAATAAATATAGTAATACTGATACTTTTTTCAGTAACTAGAATTCTCTCTCTCTCTCTCTCTCTCTCTCTCTCTCTCTCTCTCTCTCTCTCTCTCTTTCTTTCTTTCTCTCTCAGACACACACACACACACAAACACACATACTGTTCTGCAGATTTAACTTGGATTGGCTAGTTCACAAACCAAATAATCCATTTTGTGGCTTTGCATAACATTTTCAACTGTCAACTAACCAAATGGTCTGGGTTAACAAAACACACTAATTCACAAAAAACCAATCAGTTTACAGCCAGCCAAGCTTAGCATGGTGTATGAATGCGGGTGCTAGTTTGCAACAGAATTGTTTAAATATGTTGTATGCACTCAGCCATTTTGTTTACATATATATGTGCATATGTTTTGGATTGACATGCAAGCATGCTTTTGTTATGGTTTTGAAGCCCATGTGATGGTTACTTTTGGGAATTTAAACTTTGTTTTTTTCCTGATGCTTAATTTTAAGTGTGGCTACATATTTGAATTTCAGCCAAAAAATGTCACTGATTGATGGCAGTATTTTGTTTAGAAATAGACTGATGTACAAAATAAAGTTTCTAAGCTGATCCACATAGAAAGGGTTTACTTTTCACAAGCTATTTTAAGTCCAAGGTATGTCATATAGACTATGATAAGAGCTCTACTACATTGGTCTGTGGTATATTCCCTTGATAGGCTTGTTTTAGTAGCCCCTTTGATTCTTAAAACTTACTTGGCCTTTAATTTGCTCTGTCTTGATGGTTATTCATTCCACTGTACATTTGGCTTACCTGTCAGGAACAGGGTACACGTAATCTCTCAACAAAAGGATTAGTGTTGGCTAAACATAAATATTAGAAGAGGCCTAAAGCTATTCTTCCTGAAACAATTCCCTATTATTTAAATTAAGGCCATACAATTGGATGGACAATCATCCATTTTGTAGTTCAGAGGCTTAAAGCTGAAGTGCTATTGCAGCTGAACCTTTTTCTGATTTAGTGATGTATAGTGAATATATAGTTAACGTGCCAAATATATCTATAAAAAAGGATATAATGAAATTTCAGTCTCAATTGTTTTACCATTTTGCATAAAGAAGAGATCCTTTTTCCTTGTCTGGCCATTTTTTTCCTCAAAATCTTCCCTCAGCTTTTTCCACTTGCTCTAAATAGAATTTTTTAAAATTATGAATAGTTTGGAGGTACCTGATGCAGCTGCCTTGCTGAAGGAGGTTTTAATCTGGTTGGCAAATGGATGGGAGATTATCTGGAAACCTTATGTAGGTTGCCTTAAATTCCATAAGGAGAGATAAATAAATTTTTAAAAATGTGGAACTCTATCATGCTGTGAAAGAAGAAAATGAACAATTTGTTTTCCAGACCACTAAGCACAGTTCAAAATGAAATTGCTTTAAGAAATGGCAGTTTAAACAAGACAATGGAAAATCTATCTTTTCATCATGAAAAGCTGTGATTTTCAGTTGTGGTTCATTTTTCAAAAGAAAAAGCAAATCTTGAACAAGATACAGATTCTGAGATGCAAGACTTCCCTTCTGAGCCTAAATACTGGAAGATAGCTGTGGTTACAGTCACTGAAATAAAACTACCTAAAGCCTTTCCTATTAAAATGTCTCTTGTTCCTTATATAATTTAATTTCACATTTGAAAGAGATATAAAAGTTGATCCCTGGATTAAATGAAACAGTGCTGAGGAATCCGCTTCTAGTATTCAGTTTAGACTGAGGTGATTCTGCAGATTTGTGTCAGTTTTGGTTGTTTTGTTCTTGAAGTTAAGCTCACAAAGTAGTTTACTTGTCCCTGTACAATAAAACCAAAAGTAATAACTCTCCTTAATATAAGGTTGTGAGTGCTCAAACTCAAATTAACTTGGAATGGGTATTATGGGGAGTTTAAGTCTGAAACAGACTACAAGTGAACATTGCAGTGTTGCAAAATTGTCACCTGTGTATACCATTCTCCAAAAGTTTTGGATTGCATTTCCATGGCAGTCTGGCCAGTGGTTAAATTACAGGGATTGTATTTCAAAAAAATCTTGAAGTTAATAGATTGTCCATCCTTGATGTATATTATGCATGCTGCAGAGACTTACTAGAGCAGTGCTTCTCAACGTTTGTGTGACGGCGACCCCTGTCACACAAACGTGCCGCGCATGCGCGGCAGCGCCCCCATGCCCGGCGCCCCCCATGCCCGGCGCAGCGCCCCCCATGCCCGGCGCAGCGCCACCCCCCGAGGGGGAAAAATGGCGGATTGCCTTGTTTGGCGACCCCCGAGAAATGGTCGATCGACCCCAAATGGGGTCGCGACCCATAGGTTGAGAACCGCTGTACTAGAGAGAACATTACCTTTCTTTCTCATAATATAAGAACTATCAGAAATCGTGGGCACTCTATCGCTGGAAGTTTTTAAAAAGAGACTGTAAAATCACCTGTCTGAGATGCTTGAGCATCCTTGGACTAGAAGACCTCCAAGGTCCCTTCCAGCTTCTATTCTATTCTATTCGTCACCAAGTTTTAGTATCGGCAAAACTATATTTTGGTACAATGCATTATTCAATAAATGTAAGTCATGGCAAATGAGGCTTGTTTCTAAAAAGAGAAACCAGTAGAGGGGGAATTGTCTATGGTTGTAATCATTAATGGGTTCTGCACTTGTTGGTGAGAAAACAGCAGAGAAGATTTGGACTGTCTCCTATTCAGAAAAGAAGGCTGGATTAGATCTGCCAAAAGTCAGGCATTCCTTCCCCATCTCCCTGTGTTCTGTTTTATGTTCTTGCATTCATGAATAGTTGAAACATTAATTGAATGACCCCTAAGAATCCCCCTTGATTAAGTGGCACTTAAAGGTGCTCGGTTTAAGCCTAGCTAGATATAACATCTGTCACACAGCTTGAGATAATATGTGACTGATGTTTTCAAAAATAACCTATAGCTGTTGCAATGGGAAATTGGCTGGAGGTGGGTATTAAATTCTTTGTGGAAAAGAATGGGCTATTCAGTAAAAGTAAAAGGTGTTTTTTTTTTTGGTGGGGGAGCAGATTACTTTAAGCCATGAGCTAGCTCCAAGATATTTAACATCTCACTTTAATATACAGTAGATGCTTTTGTGCCTTCTAGTGGCTTTGCTGACAGTCTGCAGATTCAACATTGCACTGCAAACTCAGTATTTATATCATAGATAGGATTTAATACTGGGGACTTCCAAAGATGTTTTCTTATCCCAAAAGCAAAGTGAAAAGGAGAATGATTTGAATTGCTAAAAGCGAGACTTAACACTTTCTATTGATTGTGAATTCTTTCCCCTTTCTCTCCATGTCACAGGAAGTGGGTGTGGCTTCCTCTCCTAAGACTGGCCATTTGCAATGTTGCTGAAGGCTGCCTATCTGGTTGGTATATATTTTTGATGGATTTGTCCTGAGATGCTTCAGATGTTAGAAAACCCTTCTGCTTTCTGTCAAATTTAGAGATGAAATATTTTGGCAGGTCTATCACTTTAAAGTCTTGTAATCAAACACAGAATATTCCGCAAATATCTTCTAGCTGATAAATCAGTTAAGATTTTTTTGTGATTGCATTTTTTTAAAATCAGCAATGCTATCTCTTATTATTGTTATCAATCTATCTTTTTTTTTTCCACATACAGCCCACAACAACAATCCTGTGCGGTGGGTTTGGTTGAGAGAGAATGACGGGCCCAAAGTCACCCAGGCCAGCTTTTATGCCTTAGGCAGAACCAGAACTCACCATGTCCTAGTGATTGGCCCAAAGTCACTCAGCTGACTTTCATACCTAAAGTGGGATTAGAACACAGAGCCTTCCAGTTTCTAGTCTGGTATCTTAACCACAAAACCAAACTGATTCTCTTGAAACCAGGCAGTTACAATAAATACGTCTTAATGTCAATTTTTATTTATTTAGAAAATATAAATCCTGTCTTTCTTTGAACCAGCTTATGAGGAACAGTGAAAAGTCTATTAACAAAATAACAAAATGTAACAAATGTAAAACACAAGCTAAAACAGCATTTCATAAATATAATTCCTGGTTATATTTTATTTGAGACCCACTTTAAAGTGCTGAAAATATATATATAAATTTGCCCAAATGAAATAATGGGTCCATTCTCCCTTAATTCTGCTAATGCTTAACAAAAGATAGATATTCTTACAGTATTTTGAGAATGTTTAGTGAATATTTGATATTCAGGCATGAAGAAAATGTTTTTTTTCTTCCTCAGAACAAGGTCTATATAGATCTGTACAGACAAAGGAACATCTCCTACTGAGAATCCACAGCTTTTACTTCCCCAGTTATTTCTAATCTACTAGTGAAAATAATTAACAACTTTAGCATCTTCTAGGGATCAGAATAAATTGAATTCTCACACTTTCTTGGGGGTTATTCTCTCTCTCTTTCCACTGCTGTAGTTGGCTCTGCTGTACTCTTTCAAAAAAGTTGGTTCCTCCTCTGTTTTGCTCTTGTGTCTATAAGAGCAAGCAGTCCAGAAATCTCTTCATGCTGTGTGGTTCCCCTCACCCTCCAACACTGATAGGCCTCTTTGACTGTGCTAGTATGCTAGTCTTCTCCCATTCAGAATAATATGTATACACACACACTCAGCTACTCTACTGTTGGAGCATCTGACTCTGCCAGAGATTGCATGAGGCTCCTAGTTCTTTGTGGTAACTGTATCTAGGGAACTGTTCTGATTAACGAATTGCTGGAACTATTCACTGTTGTCCCATTGAGCATGTTGTGAGCAGACATAAAGCAGTGCTTCTCCTAATGTGGTATTGGTATTGACAGTGAAGAGAAGAGAGGGTCAAAGAGATGGTCTTTCCAAGTACACATACTAATTGCTCTAGTGGAATTTATTAAAGCTCATTAGTCCTGAATTTTCCCCATGATCTTAATCTTTAACATCAACAGAGAGAAAGGAGCCAAGTTTGTTTTCCTTTTTTAGAATGTATAGTCATCTTCTGCTGACTAAGATCCTTCTTTCCGTCTTCCCAACGGTCTCCCCTCTCTGTCCTTGCAGAAGCTGTAGCCAAGAGACTTTGAGTAGCCAGGAAAATTACATTTGCTCCCTGCCTCGTGGCATGTCTGTTAGCTCCAGGCTTGACCGGGATGCTTGCCAGAAGTGTTTTGGCCTGTTCTAGCCTTCCTTGCTATTTTGCAATTTTAAGTGGAGGCCAGCCATCGGGAAGAAGTCTGCATGGGAGCAACTCAGAAGGGCTTGCTGGAGCCTGAAGTTCCTGGGAATATGGGATAGTGATAGGTATAAATCCTGGTTATTTTCCAAAAGGTTTTTAATAGGATCTTCCTGGACACGTGTTCTGAAAAAATCTTTTGAACTTAGTGACCATATTCTTGGTAACAGAATAAAGAATTCTGTTCTGATCATTAAAGACAAATAAAGGGAAATCCAATTGAGTTGCAAGGATTTTAAAAGTATACATTAAAACATAATCAAATTAGATTATCATACATCAAAATAAAAGTATATAATTTTTTGCATAAGACATCCAAACATGTATGTTTCAGGTTAAAGGGCATTTCAGAGTTGAGATTATACACAGTCTGCTTTACCATAGTCTAGTCTAGAAGTATGACTGAAAATCCCCTGCTGTCTTCTGGTGAGGTCACAAATTGCATATACTGTGAGGCTGATAAATGGGATTCTCAGCCACGGTCACCACTGGACAAAAGAGGGGGAAAAAAAAGATGTTTTTTTTTTAAATCTATGAATTATAAACCTGTTCCTTCAAAGGGAGTGCAATCCCAAAGCAGCTAAGGCAGTTTCCCCTACAAAAAATACACTGCAAAAAACCAAAATTGAATGGCTACAAATAGTTGATTCATTTATAAGCCTTGGAGCTAAAATGCAGATGTTTACAAAGAATATTTGATTTGAAGTTTGGAATTAAAGAGAACTTGATTTGCAGTACAGTTGTTTAAAATTCTTGACCACTTCTCGAGACAGTTCGTGTGTATTCTCTTTTTACTTCCAGTCATCTTCAGATTAGTAACCCTAAGTCAGTTGCAGAGTGAGGCCTTGTATCAGGCAATAGAATGCGGAAGCCAAGCCCTCAGAAAGGTAAGTCATAACATTCAGTTTGCTAATTATTTCAGTAAAATGAAATGAGATATTAATAAAGCCATTGGTGAAGGGAATGTATGCTTTTAAGCAAACATCCAGACAAGAAGGACATTGGGTTACGTTAAATCCCAGCAAGCTAGAAAACCACTTCAAGTTTATTTGTATCCCTTTCTTCTTTCTTGCCTTTTGTTGACACTCTGCTAGTGATGCTGACAATTCACTTATTTTGCCTAGGATGTGTAGTGGCTGGCAACCTTTTGGATTTCACACACACACATACCCCGCAAACTCCCTGTCTTCCTGCTCAGCAATGACATTTTTGCCTCTCATGACATTTTTAAGGCAGTCCTAGCTCGCCATTCTGTGAACAGGCTGAAGGGAGCTCTTTTGAGTCTATATACTGCCTCTTTGGCACCATATGCTAATAATCCCAGCATGGTGCAAGCCAGGACTGCTTTGGCAGATGCCTCCTTGCCTTTTAATGAGGCATGAAACCAACAATCCAGGCTACCTCACAATACTTTCCTCTAGCAGCTGTAATCTTCTCCAACTCCAAGATAAATTATGCTTGGGTTGTGACATATGCATGCCAGGCAGGTTTTCTTTAAAACTCTGTTTGCTTGCTGCTCTCTTTTGCCTCCCCCTGACCCCACAAGTAATCATTTGGGGGGGGGGAAGAGGTTTCTAATTAAACCAAGTTTTTTTGTGTGTGTAGCTTTCTGCTAAATTTACCCAGAATAAAATGAGATTGTAGTGAAGAGGACAGGTTCCACGCTTCACTGCTGTCATTCTTCATTTACTATAAGAAAGTAGAATTCCTTTTGGAACAAATTTCTAGCTTGCCTGGTTTATGATGCTGCTTGCTGCTCCTTCACTTTTAACTTCCTTCTGCTTTGAATTGCTTTGTGTCTCTGAGGGCTCCTCCCTCAGGATTGGTAGCCTCTCTCTGCCCTCTTCTTGCCCCTTAAAAATGAGAGCCTATGAAGGCAAAGAGCAATCCAGGTGAGCATGTGGAGAAGCCACTGGAGCCCTGGATAGTAAAGATGCTGCTTGATTAGTTAAGGCAGAGCCTGGCTTCTACAGATTTAAGCCTCATGCTCAGTTTATCATAATTTTCATGGACTACAAATCCTCCAGCTGAAACTGCTGCTATGGTCTCTGGTTATGACTACTCTATAATACAATTCAGAACAGCACCTGTGTTTTTAACCAGGCAGCTTGTTTTCAGTGCATGTCTCCCTCCCTCTCCCTCCCTCCCCCCCCCTCTCTCTCTCTCTCTCTCTCTCAAGCCATTGGAGGATATATAGTAGTTGTCATTGTTACAAGGTTTTTTGGCAGCAGCTTCTCTTTTCTCACTTTTGAACATTTGTCATAATCAGGGATTGTTTCTCTCAAAATCAGTGACAGCTGCAAATACAGTTTCACCTTTTGAAAGCCAGGAAATAGTTGCTGCAGTCAATAGGCCAACAGTTCCCAAACAATGTTTAGAGAGTATTTGAATTTTCAGATGAAAACACTCTAAGACAGGAGTGTCAAACTCGCAACATTGCGTGACATGTCATAACATATTGTGACTTTTTCTCCTTTGTCCGGCAATGAGGTGGGCGCAGTTTTGGCATAATGTATCTGGCCTGCAGTTGTAGTCTCATTTGGCACTTAACTGAAAATGAATAAATATGTGTTTTTCATTTAATTATGGGGGCTGTAGACCAAAGGTGCCATGATATCCAGGTATTGGATTGCTGACTCCTGGTTTGGCAGCCTAACCCTAATCCATGGGGCAGTGGGTGAGATACATCTGCAAGATGTCAGACACAGTATTGCAATCAAAACCTCACCTCTTTAGCCTACGTGGCAACATCACACACACAAAAGCAATATAACTTCTGTCATGATTCTGTCCCATCGTCCTGCAGGTTTTGACACACAGCCTTGGACATGTCTGTTTTGTGGTGGTGCTTGAGAGTTTTAGAAGATGATGAAATAGGTCTTCAGGATCCCCAATTTAGTTGCTCATTTCTCTGCTCATGTTTCCACTATTTGGATTATCATGTATAAGATAGGCAGACTTATACATTTTTTTAAACAAAAAAATACATAAACAGGAAAAGGATAATCTGAAGGAATGAAGAAACTGTATCCTTTTTCCCTTAGACTGAGGGCAAAATGAAAGTTAAGTTGATTTGCTTAGTAGAGGAAAGATGTCTCACACTGAAGGTTAAAAATTCTTTGAGCTTGTCTAAGCCCTAGTGGGCAATATGTGGCATATTTGCTTACATGAGAAAAGTTATAAAACTTGTAGTGTGATTAATGTGGGGTTATTTTCTTTTTACTTGCTTATAATGATCTTAGCAATAGATTGGAAAGATGGCAAAAAGCACAAGTATGGACATCTGTCTGAGCCCCCTTCTCAATATCAAGGTATGAATGTTTCTGTCTTTTTTTGTTGGAGAATTAGGATGTAATTCTTCAGAAAAGAGAATGACAAATCAATGAAATGATCTCATTTAAAGTGTCCACAAACCTGCCCTATACTTACTTAATTTGATTAATTAAAATTAATTCTAGCTCCAGAGTTTCAAGTAGAGACTTTCCTTAGCTCTTTTAAATAAGTTCAGGAAAAATTGCCAGGGACCTCTGCAGCTTTATTAGAACAGATGCTTCTACTTGAAGAATCTTGCTCTCTGTGCTGATAAAGAAATCATAATCATAGGAGTTTGTTTTGGGCAAGCAGTTTGCAAAAATGCAGTCTGTGATCTGCAATAAGGATGCATATAACTAATGAGTGCAATATCTTTGATGGACCCAGTACTCAATGTATGTATAGTAAGCACACAAGCTCAACTCTAAGGTGATACATTTGAGATAGCATATTTCTACAAATGTAATTGGCAATGAGAACGATTAATCAATGGAACGGCTTGCTTCCCAGTGTGGTGGATGCTCCATCTCTGGAGGTTTTCAAGAAAAGATTGGACAACCATTTGTCCAGGTTGGCAAAAGTTCTCCTGTCTTGGACAGGGGTTGGACCAGAAGACCTCCAAGGTTCCTTCCAGCCCTGTGACTCTATGAGCAACTCTTAAGTTGCTGCCATTTTGATGAACATGATATATGTGAACCAATCCAAGATGAGGAGTTTTTTTCACTGGCTCATAGTTATTGACCTTTTTTTTTGTTCTTAGATGTGAAAAGTCTCATCTAATTCCCATATAAGAGCATATAGCGGCAAGTTAATCTGTAGTATATAATTGTTCCTCTTGGTATCTATAAAATGAGTATTTTTTTAAAAAAAAACAGAGGCTGGGGAGCCATCTATCAGGAATGCTGTAGTAGTGAAATTCAAGTTATCAGCAACACTTGGACTGGCCTTTTAAAGGTTCCAGGGCTTATATGTGAGAAGAATGTATCCCTCTTATCAAATGTTCTAATGGTGACCTCTTGTGCAGGCCGTACTTGTTCAGCTGGTTGCCTTCAATGAAGTGGTGATCATTAGTCCAGATAGCGTCAAAAAGAGGATTGGATTCTTAGAGAGATGGCTTTTTTGTGACTAATATCTAGTATTTGGGACCAATAGTAGGGAAGAAAATTGCCTTTTTATTTTGTTTACTATGGAGACATGATTAGGCTGGGTATGCTTATTTAATTGGCTTGTATATGTTATATATATAGTGTGTGTGCTGTTTGTATGAGTTTGTTTGCATCTTTTCTTTAGAGTTAATTCTGATGCATTCCCATAGTATGAGCCATATGGAGCTGGCAATATGAGCAGACCCTTAGAGAAAAGAGGGCAGGTTGCCACTGAAAACAGTTGGATGATTATCAAAATGTAACAAAGCTAATTGTTGCATGAAAAACTATAAAACTATAAATGATGTTTTGTTAATTCTCTTATAAGCTGAGAAACCTTTTAGTTTTGCCATATTAAAAACTCATGTGGTAATTAAAATGTGAAGTTCTATATTTGAGATGGATATTGTTAAAAGTATAGTTCTTGACTTTTCATATTGGCTAAGCTTATACACCATAGTAAACACTAAATTAAAGAATCAAATATAATAGGATTATCCATACAATAACCTGTACCCAATCAAATCATGTTAGGGTTTAATGTGATGGTCTAAATCACAAAATACCCAAACTATCCAATCCCTTTTTATCTTAGTTTAGTATAAGGTTATGCAACCCTTTTGATCCTATATCGCTTTACAAAATCATTTTCAGCCCAGTGCCCTCTCAGACTGTGTATGCACAATCCACATTCAAGGCTTATTGTTGCTATTTTCAAATCTTGATGTAATAATCATGTTAGTCTAATTCAAAGCAGACAGAAGTCACATGATCTGAGATTATATGATTGAAGATAAGGCAACCGTTTAAGAAAGACAATAATATAATATAATTATACATAAGTATATTTTATATTATTATTACATTATATTAAGTAAGACAATCATATAAGATTATGTGATCTAAGATATGGTATAGATTTTCCTGCTTAAGCAGGGGGGGTTGGACTAGAAGACTTCCAAGGTCCCTCCCAACTCTGTTATTCTGTTATAAATGACCATCTTTTGCCAGACTGAAAATCTTGTAGAACTCAGGGCATGGCATCATCATGGTCATATCTGGCTTCTAATGTCAGCGTCCTCTAACTGAATCAAATGTCTCTCTAAAGTTTATAATCACATTGTTGGAAAATGCTGACTTAGTATGTTTTGTGAACACAGTAGCTGTGTTGTATTGAGATCCAGCTCTGCAATCTTTAACAGTTTCCTTTTATTAGTATATTAAGTTGGCCAGTTCATTTTAAGAAGACAGTACAGAACTGTTTGAAGAATATTACTATATTCTTCAGCCTACCAGCTAAAAATGGAAGTGCCTGTTTTAGATAACATGAAAATATTGCCAAAATGTCAGGTTTGTGTGTTCTCTCCTCCTCCTCCTTGAATTCATAATACCCTGTATCCTGACACCAGTAATATAAATATATTCTTGAGAATGATGAGCGAATGGATAGGGAAATCGTGTTATAATGAAACAAAAACTGAGTAAAATGTCAGTATATTGAAGTAGACATTAGAGAAGGGAACTTGACTCATGGCTGCCATTTGCATTGCAACGTCTTAAACTTCATAACATGTAATTCAACCCTATCTTGAATTCTTTGTTTGGATGATGAAGCTGTCTGTGGCAGAAACTCCTTTACTTCTGATATTTACAAGTGGCTTTGGGAGGCTTGTTAGCTAAGAGTGGGATGGAATGTTAAAAATAAGTAAGCAACAATCTATTTAACTACATGCAGTAATACTGGGATTCCAAAGGCATGAAGAATAAAGGAAGAAGAATATAAATGCATATACTCTGATTCCATGTTCCATGTACTGCTGTGTGTCCCTAAGAAAATGACCCTTGAGCATGCTATAAGGGCAGTACATAAACAAAAAGTTAAATTAGATTTAAACTTTGGCTTAGTTGAACGTTCTCTTCCTGGGCTGATCCTTTTATGCCCAGGTAATTTAGCATTTATCAGACCTCCATCCAGACAAGAATTTTTGAAAAAGAGTTGTTTTTGTTTTCTGCAAGGAGGCAAAAAGGATCCTCGGTAACCAGCTCAGCTCCAATTTGTTTATTGAAGACAGAGAAGCTTTTTCAGACTTGCCTTCAAACCTTTCATCACAGCCAACCTTTGTTCTCCATCTTCTCTTCAGGTCATTTTGCCTGGGATAAATACTTGAAAGAGACATGTTCCATCCCAGCTCCTGCCCATTGCTTCAAGCAGGTAATGGAGCATTCCATGTTCTAAAAGAGTTGGGATGAATGGGTCTGCTTCTAGTCGGCTCATATACAAGTATGGAATAGACTCCTCTGCCTTCTGTTGGTGGGAGAAGAACAAACAAAGCAGGTACCCGGTTGTAAATTCTATAATAGAACAGAACTGAAAAAAAAGGTGCACTATGAGTTCTAGAGTTGATGAAAATAGTTCAGGAACCTTAGTTCACAGGTATTGCTGATTTAACATGGGCTGTGTGTACCTAAGGGTATAGGTAATCCTTGACTTACAACAACTGAGACCAGAATTTCCATTGCTAACCAAAGGATGAGTCACAGTCTATTTTACAATCTGTTTTGCCACAATTGTTAAATGAATCACTGCAGTTGTTAAGTGAATCATACAGCCAATCAAGCTGCCACCCTTGACTTTGGGAAGGTTGCAAATGGCATTCATGTGACTCCAGGACACTGTAACCATCATACACACATGCTGGTTGCTACACACCTGAATTTTGACCACGTGACGACGGAGATGCTGCCGTGGCTGTAAACGTCAGCACCAGTTATAAGTCACTTTTTCAGCGCTGTTGTAATTTCAAACGGTCACTAAACAAATGGTTGTAAGTCAAGGACTATCTGTACTTCCAGATAAGACATGTCCTGTGTTTTTCTTACAAAATAATTCCAGGAAAGGGAAATTCATTCAGTGTTGCTTCTCACTTGTGACCTTTCCCTCTTCTCTTTTTCCACACTGCTTTCATTTCTTTTTAGCACTGAAATCTATTAGAGGGAAAGAGACAGAAAAAAAAACTGACAATGCGAGGAACTAGTTTGGAAGGACCTAGACCAGGGGTCTGCAACCTTGACAGTTTTAAGACTTGTGGACTTCAGCTCCCAGAATGGGAGGCATTCTGGGTGCTGAAGTCCACAAGTCTTAAAGTTGTCAAGTTTGCAGACCCCGACCTAGACCATTGCAAATGCATTCATAATACATTATGATTGTTTTAGACTTAATGTAAGTAATTGTTTTAGATTAAATGTAAATTAAACAGGATTATTGTCATCATATCTGAGCTCAGATGTGACTTGCTGGGTATTGTCTTTGACTAGAATTTTAAAATAAAAGCCACTTTTGCATAGAGGGAATGCACTGGAGTGACGAAAGTGAATAATTGCCAAAAAAAATCAATGTATATTTCTTACCATGCCCATTGATTTAATATCACTTGCAAAGTGAAAGTGCAAGAAGCAAAGATTCTGGAGTACTGCAGAAAGTATCAGATGTAATCTGCATGTAAAGGTACTGGGTATAATTCCTAGCATATTCAGTTCAGTGGGATCAGGTATCAAAGTAGACAATATCGTAGGAATTGGGTAAATGGCCTGACTTGCATAAGGGAGCTTTCTATGACCTCAAGGGTGTTTAATGAAGAAGGTAAGCGTGAAAGGGGTTTAGTAGTAATAAAGATGGATAGTTTGGTTAGAATATGAAATTCTGCCTGTTTTACCTCAAAAGATATTGATGAACAAAAGGAAGGGGAAAAGTTTAGATTTTAATGTCTTCAGTTGAAGAGAATTAATCTTCTGTTGATGGTTGGATTCTCCTCTCTTCCCCCTGTTTCTTATTCCTGTTGATTTCTCTTTGCATACTGACTGTGAATCACAGCCGAAAAAATTTTATTGGTGTTCAGATGCCAGCAACAATGTAGGGAATGAGAAGGGAGGAAGATGAGTTTGGGGAGAGTATAAAATGGGCTGCCTAAAGGAGGAAGTGTGACCAAAAGCCTTGTTCTTCTCAGTCTTATACCCCGCCTAGCAATGAATTCAAGATCGGCATGAAGTTAGAAGCCCAAGATCCCAGAAACACCACATCAACTTGTATCGCCACTGTGGTGGGGCTGACAGGTGCCCGTCTCCGATTACGCCTTGATGGCAGCGACAACAAGAATGACTTCTGGCGTCTGATAGATTCTGCAGAAATCCAGCCCATTGGCAACTGTGAAAAAAATGGCGGGATGCTCCAGCCTCCTTTAGGTGAGTTGAAGCCTTCTTTGGCCCCAAAGAGAATTACTACTTTCTTCAATACCAGTAATGGTATCCCTGGTATATGATTTTTTTTACAAATATGGTGTCTGCTAATCCAGGAGGCCCTCCTTTTGGTTCTGGTGGGTGTTAGTAGAGGAAATCCCATTGACACTATCTTTTTTATATAAATGACTCACCATTTTCAGAAAAGCTCCTGGCCTCTTCTGCTAATGCTGAAGAGAACAAAATCCCTCAGGACTCCCATAAACCACAAGCACCTGGTGCCTCTTGCCATATCTAACAGAAGATTCCTGAGACTAAAATCTACAGGAGTCGTGCTTTGTCTTCCTGAAAAGCATATTCTGTATCGATTCCTAAATTTGCTGAGGTTAATTTTGCTTTCCCCTATGCTGTCTGTGCTGGATTCCAAGGAATTGCTCGCCAAGTTGTAAGCAAGTCAGTTCATACTAGCTGAGGACTGCTTAGCCATCTTGAGAATTTCCTTTTGTTTGCTGTACTGCAAAATATCTTAATCTGGTCATTCTTATGTCATTTTTCCTTATCACAAGTAACTAGGATAGCTAGTCTGAAAGTAGGTTTAAACTGAATTTAAATATTTTGAAGGCTTTTGATAGAGTGTAGTTCAAGAGATGAATGATTGGGTATTCCTTGAACATTTGATGACTAACTGAACTGGAAAGGTTTTTTCATAGAATTCTTAACTGTTTATCTAAGTAGACTGATGTTATTGGAATCAGTAGTAAAATAAGTTAAAATTGAAGGATAATCGTTCTGTTTTATTGAACTACATCGGCACCACTTCCTTTGGCTTTCTTTGTTTATTGCCATGACAATGAGGAACTTTCCATATTGTACTAAAGTTTTCTTATCAGGATTATTCCATTCTATTTCTCATGTCTGTAAATTCTGCACTTCCTTTACAAGTTCATAGATTAATGCATTGTGGAAATATTTGCTAAACATTGTTCCTGGGGGTATTAGTGAATTCTGTGTTGGTGCTTTCATAATGGAAGGGTGACTGCTAGGATGTCCTCAATTACAGCTACTATTTTAACAGCCTCCATCTCTACTTCAGGTTTTCGTCTGAATGCTTCCTCTTGGCCTATGTTTCTTCTGAAGACTCTGAATGGAGCAGAAATGGCTCCCATTCGAATTTTCCATAAGGTACTGTAGCATGCAGCCTTTCTGATACTCTGAAACCACATGGTTCCATTTCTTTTGATAAATAAATCTGGCTACTTCTGCTTGATACACCACTTGTTGAAAAAACAATATTTGTTTAATATATTTATACAGTTGCCCATCTGCCAAGGCACACATAAAAATAGAACAGATAAGAACCGAACATAATCACAATCCATTACATTAAAAAATACGAAGTCAAGGCCCTTTAAAAAAATCTCACTAGCACTTAGCAGATTAGGCAGCACCCACAGGACAGCTCAAAATCCCCCTGGTCCAGTGCTTTCAGAAGACTGACTGGTTGTCCATATTTCAGGCAGGAGGGGCTGTTTCCCAGGACAAGTACCATGATAGAGAAGACATACTTCATTGGGGGCCAGAGCTTGTCCATTGTGAAGTCTGATGGGATGGGCAGAAACTACCAGGGAGAAGCAGTCCTTCAAGTAACCTGACCCCATGTTACTTGCTTTATGTACAATGAGCATCTTGAATTGTATTTGGAATTTGTATGCTGGAATTTCTGGATGAGATTCTGTGAGTAATATCTGTAGGCTGAAGAGATAAATCTTGGGAAAACTGAGTCTCTATAGGCAATAAAACGGAATCAATTAAGTCAGGATTCCTTCTGTGTGAAGGTGTTTGTGTTAAGATTAAAGTCTAACAAGAGGGAAAGCTGAATATAGAAAAATCCATTTAAGGATTAAGATGGGTGCAAGAGATATACTTGAACAGAATAGCTACCAAACAATTGAGATCCAAAGATTGGGGGAGTGGGGGTGAGGGTGGGAGCCAAGATTTTAGACTGTTATGCTTATATAGATGACTGGTAGAAACCGCTTTTTATCTTTTTGGGGGGTTGCTTTAACTGCAGGAAAGGAAATTTATATAATCAAGTTGGGTCCTAGATTTCTTTTGAGTGTGCCAGGTTTTAGTAAGAATTATTGCAGATGTCTGAAAGCAACCTTGACACTTGGGAGAAATGTAATTCAGTCTGACAACAGGAAAAGGGAAAGAATGTTAGAAGAGGGAGGGTTGGCTGGCTATTTCAAGAAGTCTGGACTTGCAGTGTCTCTGTTTAGTCGTTATGTTCAAACCTGGTTTTAAAAATCAGATTTTAAAAATCAGGATGTATCTTTAACCCCCTTACTTTAATGCTGTCCAGGTCCAACAGATACTGCCCACAGAGCAGAATGCTTTTCCTCTTCTTATACTGTCATATTTTTGTTCTCCACGGTGCTTTTTAAATAGGGCACTTGATACTTTCAGCACACCTCTGTTCTTCCACCATTAACTAATTCAAGATAACTTGGTTTGAACTATAAAAAAATACCCTTTGGGTGAACTGCAGATAAGAACTTCCCAAATATAGCCCTCCCATGCTTCCGCTTTCTTGAAATTAAGTAAGTTAAAAAAAAGTGAATCTGGCTATTCTTGCTCAGATGTAGAACCCAATCATTTAAAAAAAAAACAATATCACAATGCATCTGAAATTGAGCAATGAAGCATTGGAGTCATTCTGATACAGAGTCTTGACCTTTTATGAGATCTTGTGCAAGAGTATTTTGAGAAATGTGACCAAATAAGTCTGGACCTACAGTTGACTTTAAGATGTTTACTTGGTCTTTCTCCCCTAGGAGCCACCGTCTCCATCCCAGAATTTCTTTAAGATGGGGATGAAACTTGAGGCTGTAGACAGGAAGAACCCGCATTTCATCTGCCCAGCCACTATTGGTGAGGTACGGGGTTCTGAAGTCCTTATCACTTTTGATGGCTGGAGGGGAGCCTTTGATTACTGGTGCCGCTATGATTCTCGTGACATCTTTCCTGTTGGCTGGTGCTCATTGACTGGTGACAATTTACAGCCCCCTGGAACAAAAGGTAAGTGCACCATCACAGTGTCTACCACCATTCATCCATCTATATCTCATATCTCTATGAGATTGATCAGAAAAATAAGAGAAGGAGGCATTGAAAATGGCCTGGGCGGAGGAAAATCAGAGGGTTGTAGGAAAAGGAGGGTAGCCAATGACATCTCTTCCTTTCAGGTGTAAACCTAACCAAGGAAGACAAAACAACAGAGATGGTGGCTCCTCCAACTTAACAATTGTTTATTACCAGATCATTGAGTAAAACCTCTCTATTACCCATAACTTAATCTTGGCTGGAAGTTCCAACCTGCCACGTGTCTCAGAGTCCTGACTGATGTATAAGTGTGTTTCTCTGTCAGCTTTATATGCCAGGGTGTTTTGTAATATAGTCAGCTAGGATTGGGGAACAGGGAGGGCAAGGGAGAATGGCTCCAGTTTTGTAGAAATTCTCACTGATCAGAGAATTTACCAGCATTCTGATGTATTTTTACTTTTTGCATTCTTTTTTCGTTTTTGATTTTGCCTTAAAGGTTTGTGAGAATAGAAAGGCAGGGTATAAATCCAATAAATTAACAGCCCTGGAGAAAATGATGATGGTGGAAGAATAGCACAAGAATGAATATATATCTCCAATAAAGCATTAATGCTTTGGAGTAAATCAGCTTTTCTCTATTATTTTTATTTTTTATTTTTATTTTATTTTTCCATGTATTTATTGCATTGGTTACAAATCTCAATAGCATACTTCATCAGTATCTGAATTAAGCATTATTAAGAAAATTTTAGAGTTGTAATGTTCAGCCTATTTTAGTAAACACTCCTGGTTTTAATGATTGCTATAAATCCATGTTTTGTAAAAAAAAAAAAAAATGGTGACAGAGAGACTAGTAATACCTTCAATGCTTTTGACAGCAGAACATCTTCAGGTTGTCCAGGGAACCCTGGCATTCTCCAGTACAGGAGATGGATAATCCACCGATGGGTTTTCTCTGTCTGCCTGCTCTTGAGACCAAGTAGCCAAAACTTGACACGCCCCCACTTCCTGTGGAGCCCATTCTTAACTTGGTCTCTGCTCGAGAAGACTCGTTTTGGCGTGGCTCTCAGCTTATCAGGTTAGACAAAGAAATCCATTGATTGATTATCCCTTGATAATTGGCTTCCCCTTCCAAAAAAATTGCCACCTATAGGAATTTAACCACAAAATTTTCTAGAGATCAGTCCTGATCTCAAACCTAAAATTAAAAAGGGGATTGGTGGGGAGGGTAACTTCCCCACAGATATCAGCCAGCCCCAGGGCTCTGGGGGTGGAAAGGGGGGGAAGAAGGCATCAGCAGAGACTACTTGCTGAACCTTTTCCCCAACCACTAATTTTTCCTTGGGATCATCCCTGATCTTATATTAAAATTGGAAAAGGGGGTGTGGGGGGGGAACTCCCCATGGATCCCAGCCAGCCCCAGGGCTCTGGAGGTGGAAAAGGGGGGAAGAAGGCATCAGCAGAGACCACTTGCTGAGCTTTTCTCCCCAACCTTCCAAGGGATTTTTTCCTCAAATTGGGGAAAAAATAACAATCTCCAGGTCCGGATTCAAACTTGAATTCGGATCGTCGGAGATTCCCTAGCAGCCCAGGGCAACCGCGGGTGCCATTTTAGTTGCCACTTTCAGGCAACAAAGGCAATCCCTGACTGGGATTCCCTTAAAACGTCACCAGCACGCCAAATTTAAATCCCCGGGCACAAGCAGCTTCCGGAAGGCCGCGGAGCTCATTTTCAGAGGGAAACGAGCCGCAGCCACCCTCCTTTTTAAAAAGCCGAAGCACAGGAAGGGAGTAAGCCCCAACTAAGAAATGGGGGCTAAAGAACCCTCCTGGGATCCGCGAAGCCCGTTTTCAGAGAGAAACGAGCCGCGGCCACCATCTCTTGCCAAAGGAAGGCAAACGGAGCTTAAGGAAGCTCCACATCATATCTGGAAGCACTGATAGAGGCGGAATAGGAGCGCACAGCCAGCGCTCCACCTCCGATATACACACATAATAATAGGACAAAATATAATAATAATAAAAATAAATAAATCAATTAAAAAATTAATTAAAGCTAAAAATTAAGCGACTGCAAGGCCAACAGGCCTAAAGGCAGAACACACAATATTATCATCATCACCATTATTGTTGTTGTTGTTGTTGTTATTATATTATTATTGTTGTTGTTGTTGTTCCTATTATTAGTATAATAGTAATAATATTAATAAGAATAAATTCCGCTCTAGGTGACCGCCATTTGATACCTTGTTGTGTATTAAGTCAGGCCTACAGACCCTTTTGAGGTCGCCACTGATATTTTTTGCCTCCCTTTTCTTTTTTCTACTGGTGCACGTTGCCTGGTCACCTAAGGCCTCCGGGCGGAACCCAAAGAGTGGTTCCAAACGTGCCTTCGGTACCTCCCTCAGCTACCGTGACCTTAGCCCAGAGAGAATATTTTTGTTGTGGTCGGGTGATCAGGGGAACAGTCCTGGTACTTGTTCCAATTTCGCTCCCGCCAATACTTGCCTGCCTGAGCGTCTTCTCAGTTTTTCTGGGACTGCTCAAGCGGAATGGAGGGACCCTCGTTGCCTCAATCCATGAGCACGACCCCTCCATCTCCCAATTACGGCTGCAACACACCTTCTGACCAGAAGGCGGCAGGCAAGTGCAAAGCAAAGACAAAACACTCGCTCAAGAGGCCCTCCAAGTTGGCGGAAAAGCAAGCCAGCCGTAGGCACCAGGCCCTGGAGAAGGAGTTCTCCAGAGCGCAGAGGCAGGCCCAATTGGAATTGGTTCAAATGGCGGCCACCGAGATGGAATTACCATTGGGTCCATCCACATCAACCCAGAGCGTGTGGTCCATTCCGGGAACACCGCAACCACTGGATTTGCCATCCACATCAGCCCAACAAACAACCACGGTGGCAGGCACAACCACTGAGTCCACCTCTCCACCTGCGGCCACCACACCCAAAGGTAATGACATAGGGGACATCTGGGCAGATGGACGGCTAGAGGCCCTATTAACCAAAGTGGTGGACCGAGCCCTAGCACAGCGCTCCGCCCACCACGACCAGGGGCCCTCCACCTCAGCCATGCCACACTCGGAACTCCCCTCAGAGTCCTCAGGCATTCAGGAACCCGCCTCCCCGGCCCAGTCCTCCATGAGTGGTTATTCTTCACCACAAGAGGAGGATCAACCTGGGATCTCTATGTCAGAGGATGAGGAGCTTCCCCCTGAGCCCCCCTCAGGGGGATTATTTAATCACAACCGCTTCCTCACGATACTACGCAAGGCCACAGCCATTGCGGACATGGGGATGGATCAGTTTTCTCAGCCGCAAGCGACACCGGCCACCACATCCAGACCCGTATTCGTAGAAAAGGTGACAACGCAACACCATATACCTTGCCCCGCCATTTTCCTGAAAGGGATCAAGAAGCCATGGGACTCTCCCGCTTCCTTCCCATCAGTGAGTGGTACGGACAAAAAATTATACAGCACTGCCACAGACCTCAATGAGGCCTTAGAAATTCCTAAAGTAGATGAAGCCTGGACCCCCTTGGTCTCCCAGACAGCCATGGCTGGGGACCTAGTGGAGGCCCTTAAGGCAGATGACAAAAAGTGGGAACAAGCCTTTCGCAAAACCCACCAGACAGCGGCATGGGCCATCAAAGCAGCCACCTCGGCCTCCTTTTTTGTCCGGGCCACCCTCATCTGGTTGCAACAACTACAAACCATAGTTCCTATGGAGGACATACGAACACACCAGGACCTGGCTAAGATGGTAGCAGCCACGGAATACGCTGCAGACGCAACGCTCCAATCGGCCATTTTTTCATCCAGATCCATAGCATCCAACATAATTGCCAGGAGAATGCTATGGCTAAAACACTGGCAAGCTGACACCAAGGCTAAGTGGCGGCTAGCGACCGCCCCTTACTCAAGCAACGGTCTGTTTGGGGAGGCCTTGGACCCATATCTTGTAGAGAACAAAGACAAGCGGAAGGTCATGGCACACTTGAACAAAAGGTCAGACAAACGTACTACACCTTACTTTCGTAGGCAGTCCTTTCGCCAACCGACAACCACACCTATCAGTCAGGCACCCAAGCAATTCACTCCCAGGCAGAACAAACCATACGGCCGCCCCTACGACAGACCGTGGTTCCATCCCAAACAACAAAACCAGTCGAGACGACCCTTTCGTGGAACGGGTCGTCCGTACTGGAAGACAAAATGACTCCTACATAGACCTACCCATTGGAGGAAGACTAGCTCACTTCTTCCACCAGTGGGAGCAGACCTCCACGGACAACTGGGTACTACAAACCATCCAGTCTGGGCTGTCCCTGGAGTTCCTGGTCACACCCCCAGACCGACTCATCAACTGCTCGGTCTCCAGGAACCCCACCAAACGCAAACTCATGCAGGAGGCCATCCAACACCTGTTGGACATTCAAGCCATAGAACCGGTCCCAGCGGAATACAGAGGCAGAGGATTTTACTCCATCCTCTTCGTGGTTCCAAAGACTTCAGGAGGATGGAGGGCAATCCTGGACCTCAAAAACCTCAACCGCTACATCACATACAAAAAATTCAAGATGCAATCCCTTCAGTCCATCCTGGGAAGCATCAGAGAAGGAGACTTCCTGGCATCGATAGACCTCACGGAAGCCTACCTTCACATCCCCATCCACCCAAACCACCGCCGGTTCCTACGTTTCTGTTACGGGGGAAAACACTTCCAATACAGAGCTCTCCCCTTCGGCCTATCTTCGGCACCCAGGGTATTTACCAAGATACTAGCAGTGGTAGCCGCCAAACAGAGAAAAATCCCAATACGCGTCCAATGTTACCTAGACGACATACTAATCCAAGCAACATCCCTACAGACAGCTCAGGCGGACGTAAGGACCATCATTCGCGTCCTCCAATTACACGGATTCTCAGTAAACTTTCAGAAGAGCCAGACAGTTCCCTCGTCCAGGCT